TTCAAAATTAAAATTATTACTAAATTTAAATATATTACTTTTCAAAATTAAAATTATTACTAAATTTAAATATATTACTTTTCAAAATTAAAATTATTACTAAATTTAAATATATTACTTTTCAAAATTAAAATTATTAATAAATTTAAATATATTACTTTTCAAAATTAAAATTATTAATAAATTTAAATATATTACTTTTCAAAATTAAAATTATTAATAAATTTAAATATATTACTTTTCAAAATTAAAATTATTAATAAATTTAAATATATTACTTTTCAAAATTAAAATTATTAATAAATTTAAATATATTACTTTTCAAAATTAAAATTATTAATAAATTTAAATATATTACTTTTCAAAATTAAAATTATTAATAAATTTAAATATATTACTTTTCAAAATTAAAATTATTAATAAATTTAAATATATTACTTTTCAAAATTAAAATTATTACTAAATTTAAATATATTACTTTTCAAAATTAAAATTATTACTAAATTTAAATATATTACTTTTCAAAATTAAAATTATTACTAAATTTAAATATATTACTTTTCAAAATTAAAATTATTACTAAATTTAAATATATTACTTTTCAAAATTAAAATTATTACTAAATTTAAATATATTACTTTTCAAAATTAAAATTATTACTAAATTTAAATATATTACTTTTCAAAATTAAAATTATTACTAAATTTAAATATATTACTTTTCAAAATTAAAATTATTACTAAATTTAAATATATTACTTTTCAAAATTAAAATTATTACTAAATTTAAATATATTACTTTTCAAAATTAAAATTATTACTAAATTTAAATATATTACTTTTCAAAATTAAAATTATTACTAAATTTAAATATATTACTTTTCAAAATTAAAATTATTACTAAATTTAAATATATTACTTTTCAAAATTAAAATTATTACTAAATTTAAATATATTACTTTTCAAAACTGTTACTAAAAATTTAGTATAGATGTAAAGATCCTCTCAAAATCTGAGCTGTAAAATTTCAATTGTCAGGTTGAAGCAAGTTACTATTGTTATATTAATGTTTCATCACATCAACTTTTAACTGCAATTTACAACCTTTAATTGCAATATACAATTTACAATTTGTTATTAAATTTTTATGGTGTATGATTATTACTATGCAGCTGCTACAACCACCAGAAACATTCATGAATCATCAAGGAGCATTTAAGCAGTTCATTTTAAATAAGATAGGAAAGATTCGTAATGTTTGTTATAGATAAATGAGGAAGATTATTTATTTCAAATTCCCGACCTTCGTTCACTGATTAGTAAAATGTGAACTCAAACATTATTATTGAACCCATCACTACCAATGACGAACGTGTCAACAGTTTTGAAGTTCCAATGGATGTTATATGTGAAAAATTATTGAAACAGTACCAAATCACAGTTTTGAGCCCACGACTGCCAATGAAGATCAAGTCAACTACTAGTTTTAACATGGTTATGTGTGAAAAATTATTGAAACAGTACCAAAACACAGTTTCCTATCAAATCGATCCTGGACGATGACTATAATCCCTTTAGTCTTCAGTCATAAATAACTAGCCATAAATTTCAGCAAAAAAACATCTGAACCCTCATAATTTCAAGTAAAAAGCCGTAAAATGGCGTCTACTAACATTATACAAACAAACAGATCTACAAATAACTGCATAGTCAACATCTAGTTGTCTTAAGATGAGTTTAAATTCACATTCAGTAATAAAATGTTCATATTGGTTCGAGCAGACAGCAACCTGATTGAGTTCCTTTAACACGTGCCACTTAAATGAGTTCAAAGGACCAACATGCTTCGATAGAAAGAGAAATGGGTCGGAACGAAAAAAATGGCCGTCAGGGGAAGCAGGATGGGAATACGTTAATAGTTTTCGAAGAGGTTCCGTCAGAATAGCGTAAGTGTTGTATATTTACACTGGCGTTACAGGCTCACACCTGGAAGCAGGAATAGCGCCGCTTCTTTTTCTTCTAAAGTATTTTCTCGGCTGTGCGTCAAACGGGCCCTAACAAAAGGGATACCCTATTTTATTTTTCCTGTCGAGTTTTTGGAGGGGGTTGTTGTTGTTTCATTACGGATTTATAATGGTATTGGCGTTGGAATTCGTGGTTTGGGGATTTATGGGGTTGGGGATTTAGGGATTTGGGTATTTAGGGATCTAGGGATTTTTGGATTTGGGTATTTAGGGATCTAGGGATTTTGGGAATTAGAGAATTAGGGATTTAGGGATTTAGGGATTGGAAATTTAGAGATTTGGAAATTTAAGGATTTTGGAATTTAGAGAGTTGGAAATTTAGGGATTTGGGAATTTAAAGAGTTGGAAATTTAGGGATTTGGGAATTTAGAGAGTTGGAAATTTAAAGAGTTGGAAATTTTAAGAGTTGGAAACTTAGAGATTTGGAAACTTAGGGATTTGGAAATTTAGTGAGTTGGAAATTTAGGGATTTGGAAATTTAGAGATTTGGAAATTTAGGGATTTGGAAACTTAGGTTTAGGGGTTTGGAAATATAGGGATTTGGGAATTTAGAGATTTGGAAATTTAGAAATTTGGAAATTTAAGGATTTGGGAATTTAGAGAGTTGGAAATTTTGGGATTTGGAAATTTAGAGATTTGGAAATTTAGGGATTTGGAAATTTAGAGATTTGGAAACTTAGGGATTTGGTAATTTGGTAATTTGGTAATTTGGTAACTTGGTAACTTGGTAACTTGGTAACTTGGTAATTTGGTAACTTGGTAACTTGGTAACTTGGTAATTTGGTAATTTTGTAACTTGGCAATTTGGTAATTTTGTAATTTGGTAATCTGGTAACTTGGTAACTTGGTAATTTGGTAATTTGGTAACTTGGCAATTTGGTAATTTGATAATTTGGTAATTTTATAATTTACTAATGTGGTAATTTGGTAATTTGGTAATTTTAGAATTTAAGAATTTGACAATTTGACGATTTAACAATTTGACAATTTGACAATTTGACAATTTGACAATTTAACAATTTGACAATTTGACAATTTAAAAAGTTAACAATTCAAAAATTTAACAATTCGACAATTAATGGATTTACAAACGTAAAAATTTTCAAATTAAGAAATTCAATAATTAAAGAATTTAGGAACTTGTTAATCTGTACACGTAGTAATTTCATAATCCCATAATTTATTAACGGAAATATTTTGTGTCGCTTTAAAGCTTGAAAGCTATAAATAGAAATCAGCGAAAAGCTGCCATGTCTTTCGTTCCAAACATCCATCACAGACATTTGTTACAACCGGTTACTTCCCGTGAAAAATGTTCACATTCGCATTAATATCCGTAGTATAAATAACTACTCTAATTTTACGATTGAGAAAAATGAAAACATTCTTCACAGAAATTATGCAGAAATCCTTTCATCTAACCTAACATTACTTCTGACATATTATAACAAAATAATGTCTCTTGTCTTTAAAAAGGTATTCGATTATTTTATTATTGTTATTACTTTCAAGCTTAAATACCTTCACTTTCGTAAAAATAAAATAACAAATCAGTCTTTGCATCTTAAACAATCATAAACAAACGAGAAACATTTATTTTTCTTTAATAAATGCATACACGAGCCTAACATTTATCTTGTCAAAAAATATTGTACCTTATAAAAAAAATGACAGCACAAACACATAAATTCAATAAATATTTTGCCCCAATAAAAACAATCTTCTTAACCCAACAAATACAGAAATATTTTTAACTTGTCAAATTTGTTATTGGAAATTAAAAAACCACTTGGAGGGTCCTCTCAAATGAAATCAGATACGGGGACATCAAGAGGGTAGTTTACACCCGCTTAACTCGATCGTGAATTCTCCCGGGCACAGTCAAAGACCGGAACGACGTCGGTATGCGTGCAGATGGTGGTCGTAAGAGGGGTAGTCTAAAATAATAAAGAAGCTGGCACAAAGATGAGGAGTGTTTGTGTTTCTATATACGATGTCCGATCACGAAAAGACGAGTCGCAACTGGAAAAACGCGTATTCGAAACACAATATTCGAACGGGCCGATAGTAATCGATAGTTTCCTGCAAAGTCTTCTCTCGAGTTTTCAACGAACAATACCGGCTATTTTCGTTTCTTCCGGCGAAGGAAACGCAAACGCTTTTCATCGAATTCCATTATTTTCGTGGTTGTTTGTGAATCTGCAATTGGAATTTTGATCAGTATAAATAGAATTAAAGATGCAAAGACCTTGATGAAATAAAACTTTCATCGATATTCTCAATACAGAATTGCATGCTAATAATAATATATACAGTATGTCGGAAAAATAACGGAACTTTTTAAACAAAAAGAAAATTAGTTATTTTGCTAAGATTAATTTTTTTATTCAAAATACATCCGCATCAATATATCGCTGGGCTCACATAACGTTAACATAGATTTTGTTATGTCGTTTTGCGGAATCGCTTCAAACGCCCTTGTCACAGCTGCTTGGACTTCTCTTCCTACGAAGAGATTACGGCACGTGGTATTGCAATGTCGGGAATTACGGTGCGTGGAACTACGACGCGTGGAATTAATAACGCGTGGAATTACGACGCGTGGGACTACGACACGTGGAATTACGATGCATGGAATTACGGCGCGTGGAATTACAACACGTGGAATTACGACGCGTAGAATTATGGTGCGTGGAATTACAGCGTGTAGAAGTATGGCGCGTGGCATTACAACGCGAGGAATTACGGCGCATGGAATTACGGCGCGTGGAATTAATAACGCGTGAGACTACGACGCGTGGGACTACGAAGTGCCCTTGTCACAGCTGCTTGGACTTCTCTTCCTACGAAGAGATTACGGCACGTGGTATTGCAATGTCGGGAATTACGGTGCGTGGAACTACGACGCGTGGAATTAATAACGCCTGGAATTACAACACGTGGAATTACGACGCGTAGAATTATGGTGCGTGGAATTACAGCGCGAGGAATTACGACAAAGTTCCATTACTTTTCCGACATGCTGTATAACAAGGTGCTACCTTGACTAACTAGCGCAAAATAAGAGATAAGATAAATTAATCGAATAATATGAATAATAAATACAGCTTGACATGCGATCGCAGACATTATTTTCCCACTTAAACGGTAGTTTGGTTTACAAAATCGGAGCAGATACAAACTTACCGCGATATGAAGTATAATTACAAACCAAATTTGGAAGAATTGCATTCCAGTTTGAAGTATAGATCAAGGGAATATATTTTGGAGAACACGTTGCATGGAGTCCCATATTTCGCGGACCAAACTCGACCTAAATGGGAAAGGTAACTATTAAAAGTTTTATAGAGTATTTATTCTACTTAAAGTTTTATAGAAAAATATTTTAAACGGGATGAAAATGCATTTGTTCAGGGTGATGTGGTTTATTTTAACGATGGCGTCCGTCTTGGCTGTTGTCGCCATAATCGTGATAGTTTTGGAGAAATTTGAAACTGAACCAACCATAACGGGTTTAGATACGGTGACGGATCATATTAGTATAGAATTCCCTAAAGTTTACATTTGCTTCAATTGGAATCATCTGAATCATTTAAACTTACCACAAGTAAGTTTACTTTGAGTAAAATAATATCAACTTTTAATTAAAGTTGCATTGTAATAACCTTATATAATCAGAAGAATAATAATTGTTTATAATTTATAATTTAAAATAATTTATAAATAAAAATAAATAATAATATATAAAAATTTATCACTTATAATAATTATTATAATTTAAAATTTATAATAATAGTTTATAATTATTTGTAATAATTTTTACCTAAATAATTTTCCTCATCTAACTTCAAAAATTTTCGATTAGAATGAAATAGAATTGTACGAACAAGTATACAATTGGACTTGGGGTACCACCATTAATTTTGACGTACTAGAATCTCTTTATAGCAAGAAAAACAACTTCCGTAGTAATTTTGAAAATATGAGTCCCACCTGCACCAGTTTGATTAGCAACTGTGAATATAAGTAAGAAAAAATTAGTATCCAACAATAATTTATTATAAAATTAATTTATCATGATTTAAAACTAGTTACTTCTTATAGAAATGAGAAAATACCATGTAACGAATTATTTACGAAAGGCCTTGTTGCTGTGGGTGAATGCTGTATACTCAAGACTGTGGAGCCCCTTAAACATACGGATATTTCATGGAGTCTCGAATTTGAAACTTTAAACTTTAACTCTCCTTGGAGGTAGTATTATTTTTTAACTTACATTTAAATTCATATTGAAAAGTCAAGAATATGATCTCCTTCTTCCACCATAAATTATTCATTCGTATAATGAACGTGTCTAAAAAAATTTCGAACGACAAATAATTATTATTTAGACTTTGATTAGTTTCTTAGTTGGTCGCCGTTAACGTACTTGGCGCCACCTGTGCTATTTTGAACCTATTTCAATGAATATCGATTTTTCCTGCTTAATCGGTACTAATATGTATCAAATGTACCAAATAACTTAATATAAAATACCTTAAAAAGCATAATATGTAGTGAAAGATACGAAATATGACTTTTTATAATTTTCTTTCACGCGTATTCGAACGTGTAGTTTTTCAGGTTAGTTCATCTGCTTCGCCGCTCGATGGCGCGACATGTTCCATTTTCCTAATCTTTAATTTTTCATACTCCTTTTCGTAACAATTTACACAAACTAGAAAGTATATCATGCTTAAAACTGTGTTAAATTGCAGATTATATTTTACTACAAACGACGCTCCAAGCCCGCAACCAGATGAAAGACAGATAATAGAAGCTTATTATCCGTCACACATCGAATTTGTCACCGACATAACGTACACGACATCCGACATTAGTTATTTAACTCTTCATCAACGGAAGTGTCTTTACAGAGCCGAAGATACGAATGTAAATGAATGCCAGATCAATTGTTTAACTGATCTACTGTTAGAACGCTGTCATTGTTTACCATGGTTCTTATCGGATGTCGATAAGAAAGAATGTTCTTTACCGATGTATTCGTGTTTGAATAATCATTATCTCGACACGAGAAATTGCTATTGTTGGCTTCGCTGTAATCACACGTCGTATACAGTACGAACTATAGCAAAATCGACTAATAACAAGACCAAAATTATGTTAAGAAATTGGCCAGCAGCACTTTACAAGAGGGAAATGCGATTTGGTTATTTAGATTTACTTGTATCGTTTGGAGGTATTGCGAGTCTCTTCTTAGGATATTCGTTGCTGACTTCCGTTGAAATGGGGTATTATTTTAGTCTCAGGACGTATTGCGGAGCTGTACTTATGTCATCTCGTGAAAAATGTAGCATAATAACTGTTTATGTAATGGAGAAAGTTCGTCCGAAAAAAGATGATGATCTGAAATACTATCCATATATCGATTAGCTATTTTCTGTATTTTTGTTAAACATAGCAGTATTAAGAATGGAATCAAATATATATAATACCAGGTATTAAATAAAATATATCTTATAGTCTAATTTAATTTTTGTGTGACGGTGCACTTAGTTGCAAAAGGGCTCTAAAGAAAATAGCGAACTTTGCTAATTTAATCACCTACTATTAAATGGCGCCAGTTGTTGATTTCTTCAGCTTAATAGACGATGCTATACGTTAAAATACGTCGAGAAGCTACACTAGGTCTGTTTGATTGAGGCGCTCCGCGCCTAACCTAACATTGTTGACCGAGCGAGTAAATTTCACGCTAAAGCAAAAATTGTCAACCGTGTCATCCGGTTAAATTGGTTGAGTGGTGCAAGAGAAAAACGTGGACAAAATTGTTGAAAAGTCAAGAACATAAGCGCGAGCAAATTCAATTTTGCATTAAAGTCTACGGGGATATGGTTTTTCGGTAACTATTCCTCCGCGGCATGCGCGGGCGACGCGCAGGAGGAATATACACGATAATGAGTATGCAAAATCGTTAATTACTCACTTTCTGAGTACAGTCTATGAACTTTTATGATTATACAAATTGTTCCTTGTCGCCTACGGAATCGAACGAATCTAATTATAGCTTGCTAGGACCATTATTAAGGAAAATAAAAAAATAGGTCAAAACATGGACTAAAAAATTGGCGTCCATCTAGCGGCGAAACGTGTGAACTAAACCTAAAAAATGAGGGTCCGAACATGTATATATGGAAAATAAAAAAATGAATATTTCGGCACTTTGACGACGTAGTATGGTTCCTGAGGAATTTAGAAACAAATTTCTATTAGGGTTTGATGCGTTTTGATGCCTAATAAAGCCAGAAAATCAATTTCTGTCGAATTCGGTCGAAAGGGGTCAAATAGAAATTGATTTTTTGGGCTTAATAGGCAAAAAAATGAATAACTTATTCAACAAAAATTGCTCCAAAATGTCTAAAGAAGCATACTTCGTCGTCAAAGTTGCGAAATATTACTTTTTATATTTTTCCTTAACGCGTGTTCGGGCATACGTTTTTTCAGCTTAGTTCGCAGTTTCGCCGCTAGATGGCGCCACAAATTTTCACCATGAATGACATTTTTTTTATTTTCTTTATTAAAGCCTTTAGGAAACTTTTATTGCTTTATTTTGCTTCTAATGCGACCACGTAACACTTTCTGAGTCTCGGAAGTACTCAAAGTTCGCTAATTTTTGAGATAATCGCATTTTTATATTTTTGTAGTTCCAACTTTTGCCGCTAGATGGACGCCAATTTTTTAGTCTATGAAATGGGCTATTTTTCTATTTTCCTTAATAATTGTCATAGCGGGCTATAATTACATTCGTTCGATTCCGTAGGCGATAAGGAACAATTTGTATATCTCAGAATTTCGGAAAAGTCCCTACTTTTCGAGAAAATCGAGATTTTAGTTTTTCGTAGTTCCGCCGCTCGCCGCTAGATGGCGCCACCTGTACCGTTTTCGACCGAATTCTACAAAAATTGATTTCCTGCCTTTATTAGGCATCAAAACGGATCAAACCCTAATAGAAATTTGTTTCTAAATGCCTCAGGAACCATACTACGTCGTCAAAGTGCCGAAATATTGCACTTTGCAAGCGCAGTAGAATTGACATAGGCGGCTAATGTACGTATCGCAATGCTGAAGCTATGAGGATTAGTTTTTTCAGTGATTATTCCTCCGTGGCAAGTCCGATTTAAAATTTTTGTTTCTATGCTATCTGGATGTACATACGCATGCGCGGGCAAAATTTGATGAGAATTGGTTGAGTGGTGCAAAAGAAAAACGCGGACAAAGAACTTGCAAAGTCAAGTATAAGAACTTCGCTCGCCTCCGGCTCGCCCGCTCAATTAATTTGTTGTAGAATGTTTTAAATTGTTAACAAGTTTTTTTTCCGGAAAATCAGAATTTTTTATTTCGGTAGTTTCGTGCTTAACCGCTGCATGGTGCTGCTTGTACTGTTTTCAGTAAAAGCGCGCGAAAATACATAATTTAAAAAACATGTAAGTATGACGTTATCAAAATGTTTTCAAATGTCAAATTTAATTACTTTACAATAAACTCTTGTCTTGTATATCTCCTTTATATATTACATTGTTACGACACAACATATTATCAGTTTCGAGAATGTCTGTTGTAAATAAGGCATAATACATGCTAATGTCTGAATGTTCCTACGGATTGAAAGGAGCTGCTCTTCTCAAGTGCCATTTTTTCCAGGAAAGCCAGATTTGTAACCGCTGTACAGAGTGTAAATTTAGAAATTTCGGAAAAGAACAAAGAGTTTAGTGTTTTGGTAGGGAGACGCTTTCATTGATTGACTTTTAGGTTATAAAGGTATCAAACAACTTTACAAAAAAGAAACCGTCAAATGTAAGGGTATTTGATCGTTTCACAAACGATCATTGCAATCGCTTCAGTTAAAGATACAGTATTTAAGACAGTATTTATTGGTGAAAAACATGTGGACCGTAGAAAAGACATTAAAATTAATCGAGGACCTGCGCCGCGAACCGTGTTTATGGGACAGGAAATGTGAAGAGTTTAAAAATAAAGAAAAAAAGAGAGACGCTATGAACAATTTAGCTGAAAAGAATGGGGTGACTTCTGCTGAATTGGAACGAAAAATTCATAGTATGAAAACACAGTTTTATCGTGAAAGAAGGAAATTATTTAATACCAAACGGTCTAACGCGGCATCGAAAAATTCAAATTGGTTTGGATATATGCCATTAATGTTTTTAATACGAAAAAGCGAAACAAAGTCTAGTAACGTTCAAAGTACGAACGTTAAAGAGGAACAAATTGAAGTAAGAAAATATCGTTCATTTATTGTATTACTTTTTATCGAATAAATACATGTCTGTATGTAAGGAGTTATATTTGAAGGTTATAATATAATGTTTTTGTTTGCAGGTAGAGAGCACTAATACTGAAGTCGAAACGACAAATGACACAGATCAAACAGAAAATGAAAATGATGTAGAAAATGTCTTCCCGATTCCAGAATATGGTGGACATGAAGTACAACAGAATGGAAACAATGTCGATAGTACGCAGTTGTTGGAGTGTTCAAAATGTCTGACTATGTCCACTCGTGATGAATTATCAACTTTTGGAGAATACATTGCATGTACATTGAGAAACTGTAATAGGCAACGCAAAGAAATCGCAATAGCACAGCATCAAATTAGCAATATTCTATTTAATTTAGAAATGGGTGTGTACAGTAATGTAATTCAACAACAATCTAGACAGTGTGCTGATACAGATGGTGAAAGAGCTACTGATGATACCCAACTGGTTGTTGACAGTTAGAACAGTAATTGCATTGTACAAAGTCACTTGTATAAATGTATATATGTACATACAAATTTTTTTCTTTTGTTGCTGTCAGAGAAAAGTTCTCAGGATAATATTTTCTGCATAAATATGCATTAATAGTGTCAGAAAAATCATTGATTCATGACATTATTTCATCTTTTATTTTGTAAAACCTTACAAATTGTGGATTTTTTATATTACTTAACTGTCATAAATGATTCAAAGAGACTGATTTAAATATTACACCTGTATATCTTACATTCTTTACTAAAAATAAATTTTATACTAAATTTATAAACCTTTATATTTGTATGCCCATTGAAATCTATTTACTCTATATTTCTTTGAAACCAATTTAAAAAGTTATGTTGATGTTGGAAGGTGCTGAAGGTAGCCATTAAGTTGATGTGAGAAAGTGCTGAAGTTAGCCATTTATTGTACATACACAGCCTTTATGTGTATATATAGGTCAGAATGTTAAAAAATGAATGATCTATTTATACATATTTTATAATAAAAGTTGTAGTTAAAAGTTATAATAAAATGAAGTATTTTTATTATTAGTTTTATTATTATTTTTAAGTAGAATAAAGTGCAATGCCTTGAATGACTTGAAATTATTGAAAGTGGACTTTATGCGCAGTTTCAAAATCAGCTCATTCGAGTAATAAAGTTTTTATAAGTTAATGTCTATTTAATTACTTATTTATAATCTAATAATGTCATTATCAAGAAACTTTTAGCTTATATCTAAATAATTAAGAATTTTGAAGTTCATAATAAAGAATGATAAATGGATAAACAGAATTTTATAATTTATATAAATTTATTATTATTTATATTAATATGTATTTAGATAAAGCATGATCAAAAGTTGACACAGATTCTGCTACAAATATAATGACGTTAATGATCTCTTTCTTATTTGTTATCAATGACCTAACCTAACCATAACAAAACCTATCCTTTTCATCTTTTTATAGTTTATGTAGCGTGTCAAAGACAAAACATCCTAATGTCAAGTATCTTCCAAAAAAGTAATTCAGCATTTAATAATAAAAAGTTTTAAATTGTGAATAAATAAATTTAAATATTAAGTTCAGTTTTACACTGAAACCCGAATGTGTCATTACAGTGCGTTAATAATATTTGGATAACGACTGTATATATTTAATTTTTCATTTCCTTTGCGTGGAAATAAGTGAGAGCAAAATGGTTCTCGCAGATTTAGGTCGAAAAATAACATCTGCATTACGGTCACTTAGTAATGCGACCGTAATTAATGAAGAGGTATGGTATTTCTTTTAACACATAACCTTACAAATTTTGACAAGTATTTCAACTTGTAACATATGTTCTTTCATGTTACATGCAATGCTCTTAGATTTCTTAGTTTTCAACTTTCTTTCTATGTCTTCAACAAAATTATTCTTTGGTTTACTTAATTTTTTACTATATGATCTCAATTTCATTACAAAATTAAAGTAGTGATAATTGATTATTAATTATATGTATATTTAAAATATCAGAATATTTGAATGTCTTATTATATTATATTCATTATATATTCAAATATAAAATCATATTTACATAATGTAAATGTTTTATGACAACAGTATTGAAAATATGTTTTTATGATTGTATAATAACTACAAGAAGTTGTATTCAGATGTTTATAATGTTATCTACTATATATTCATCAGTATACATTCTTTTTCATAGTAAGTTCATTTAAATGTATAATAAGCAATAAAGTTGATTTTACATTAAATGGGTATTATAATAAATAGTTTTTCTGATATCAGAATGCTTGCAGCAAATAAACATGTTATAACTTGCACATTTGTGCTTGAATTCACTTACAGGTTTTAAATTCTATGCTAAAAGAAATATGTGCGGCATTACTTGAAGCAGATGTTAATATTAGGCTTGTGAAAAAGCTAAGGGAAAATGTACGTCTTGTTATTGATTTTGATGATATGGCTGGAGGACTTAATAAAAGGAGGATGATACAAAGCGCTGTCTTCAAAGAGCTTGTAAAGGTGAGTTAAACAATTTCTTTACTATAATCTATTAATATGACTTATGACTGATTTCTTAGTATAGCATTCTGAATTTGTATTATAGTTGATAGATCCTGGAGTAAAAGCTTATCAACCAATAAAAGGACGTTCCAATGTAATTATGTTTGTTGGTTTGCAAGGTTCAGGAAAAACAACTACCTGTACTAAACTTGCTTACCACTATTTAAAAAAAAATTGGAAGGCTTGTTTAGTTTGTGCTGATACTTTCCGTGCAGGAGCATACGATCAGATCAAACAGAATGCAACAAAAGCACGAATTCCATTTTATGGAAGGTAAAAATTTTTGTTCATAGATTATTTGTGTGAAGAACTTCCTAATTTTTTATTGAACACTTATACAAAGCAATAACATTACAATAAATTAATCAAACGATTTTTTTTATGAAGCTATACAGAGGTAGATCCAGTAGCAATAGCACAGGATGGTGTAGAAATGTTTAAAAAAGAAGGTTATGAAATAATTATTGTTGATACCAGTGGTCGGCACAAGCAAGAGGAATCTCTGTTTGAAGAAATGCTTCAAGTTGCTAATGCCATTGTAAGTAACAAGTTTCCAAGTAAAAGTTTATATAAGATCCTTCATCTATGTTCTATGTGAAATGTGCAAAATATCAACTTTTTGCAGCAACCAGACAATATAATTTTCGTAATGGATGCAACAATAGGACAAGCTTGTGAAGCTCAAGCAAAAGCTTTTAAAGAACGCGTTAATGTTGGTTCTATTATTATTACAAAGCTTGATGGACATGCGAAAGGTGGTGGTGCCCTCTCGGCGTAAGTTTTATATTTTTTAACAATCTTTCTCAAGTTTTATAAAAAATATAATGTAAGTTAATGCAATAAATAGGATCAAGTGTATAATATAAATATATTTTTACAGGGTTGCTGCGACACAAAGTCCAGTAATCTTTGTGGGTACAGGAGAGCACATAGATGACTTAGAACCGTTCAAAACGAAACCTTTTATTAGTAAATTATTGGGTATGGGTGACATAGAAGGTCTTATAGATAAGGTAAACGAATTAAATCTCGATGATAATGAAGAACTGTTAGAGAAAATCAAACACGGACAGTTTACTTTGCGAGATATGTATGAGCAGTTCCAAAACATTATGAAAATGGGGCCATTTTCTCAAATCATGGTAAACTCGATTTCCTTTATGAATCTGAACAGTTGTGTAACAACTATGACAAGTTTAAGTAAATGAAATGTCTTTCCTTAAATAGGGAATGATTCCTGGTTTTAGCCAAGATTTTATGCCGAAAGGTACGGAGCAGGAGTCTGTGGTCAGATTAAAGCGGTTAATGACCATTATGGACAGCATGAACGACTCAGGTTATTTTTCTTTTATATTTGAATAAATGTTTCTTATTTCAAAGTTCATAAATTTGTAAATTTAAAAGATTGGCAGCAACTAATTTTTGCCAGTAAATTGTTATAATTTATAACCTAGAAAAATATTAGACTGATTAATTTCTTTTAGAACTAGATAATAGGGATGGAGCAAAATTGTTCAGTAAACAGCCGGGTAGAATAGTAAGAGTGGCACAAGGATCTGGGGTAACTGAAAAGGAAGTCAAAGATTTAATTACACAGTATACAAAGTTCGCAGCTGTCGTGAAAAAGATGGGTGGTATTAAAGGTTTATTTAAAGCTGGAGACATGTCAAAGAATGTAAATTCAACACAGATGGCAAAATTAAATCATCAAATGGCAAAGATGATGGATCCAAGAGTCTTACATCAAATGGGTAAGTACTTTACATAAATAATGATTTCCTCACTAAAACGATAGTCCATTTCTTTATTGTGTACTTTATTTTTAAACATACAATAATACAAAATACTTAATCGTTCAATTATTTACTTAAGGATTAGCATCTCCTAACATTTGGTAAAGTCCATACCATAGATGAACTACATAAAACAAGACAAATTATTTATTTAATTAATATTTTTTAGGCGGCATGCCAGGACTGCAAAACATAATGAAGCAGCTCCAACAGGGTACAGCTGGTGGGCTCGGAAATCTAATGGGAGGTTTTGGTGGAAAATCGTGAAAAGAATTTTTAGGCTCAAAATTTGTTAAATATCATTCAATAGTAAAGGGAAGAAAATGAAAACGTACGGAGAAGAGAGAAAGTATTTTCAAACCTGTACTATCACCGACAATGATTTCATGAAGATTTCCATTTTATGTTTATAAATCTTTTTCAACGCGAAAAAAATAAAACGTGATATTCAGTACCGTACGCATTTTACAATACATTTCATTCCCTCATCTTTTTTACTTGCATTTAATTTGTAATTTTAATTAACCGCAGTTTTGTGTAATGAATGTGTATCGAGCGAGCTGTTAGCGGGCGGTTGGAAGCGGCTGGTTAAAGAGCGGTCAGTTAGAGAGCGGGCGGTTGGAAGCGGCTGGTTAAAGAGCGGACAGTTAAGGAGTGTGCAGTTAGCGGTCGATAAGTAGAAGGTCGAAATAAACGGAGGAGAATTTCTACGACAACAAGTTTTATTTTTCAAATGCTTTCGTCAAGCATGATTACAAAACCAAGCAACAAGAATCTCGTTCTTACATCGTGTAGTCTTAAGAACGACGGTCGTCGATAATTCATAGGTACATATTTAACAAACGATATACATGGTAGTTGTATCTAACGATAGTAATCGATACTCGATTATTTTATCCGTTACATTTTTCTCGGCCTGTTAATCTTCTCGTTCGAATAGCTCTATTGCTATATAGTACATTCGTTTTTGCTAGAATTAATAATGTTAATCGTATCGTTATCCTTACTCGTCCTTAGCCTACGTTTTAGCTAATGTTTCTCAATTACAGAACATTTCAGCTACCTTTCGTTACGTGACGCGTGAAAATGTGTCGAATGGTCGAAGATCGGGACGCGGGTGTCGATTAAAACGAGTACGAGCGATGTGATGATTCGAAGGCGACAAATTTTCTTTTTCACAAAATTCTTCGTTTGTCGCCTCCGTCAGTTACAAATGTTTCTCAGTACATCAATGGGACAATTGAGAAGAGCACATTTCGCGATGACTGATTTTCTGGTTGAAACGGTTGTTCTTCAATCTTTATTGTCATTGTGCGATTCATAGGCTTGTCGCGCGTTCACTTGGCACAGTAAAATACGTGTAGAAGATGTAAATGAGGAATGTACAGTGAATTCATCGAAAGCTTGTCATGCTATTTAACCCTCGGACATGGGTCATTCAAGATGGAGTCAAGATTACATTTGATGTTGCTATTGAACAAAATAACTATAAACGAAACAAAAATATTGTATTGTTAACGGGATTGTTTCCGGGATTTTACCATTAAAATATTAAGTAAAATAGGTACAATTAAGTGAAGAATATAAGCTCTAACGTGTTCGGACCTCTTCGGCCGCCATCTTGATGTGTTATTACACAGTTGGGTCTGAACCTCTTAACAAATGAACTTGGATCCATTGTTGTAAACTAATGATCTCTACACAACAACAATTTTGTCAAAATAATTTCCATATTATTATTAATGTCCGAAGGTTAATCGAATTAAGTCAAAATGTGATGTACCGTATGATAATGTGTGCATTCGGTAAGTTGCCAGTTAAAATCCGCCAACTTACCGGACACTTCAATTTTTCTCCTATGTTTAATACTTTTAGTGAGCTTTGATTGGTCTACTTAATTCCTCGGCATTTCGCGCAATTCGGAAGCTTCCAAGCCTAACAGAAGTATTCCTTCTTTCATCATCATCGAATTCTCGTTTTCTGCAGTCGATTCTATGAGAAGTATAAAATTCGTTAAAAACGTTCTATCCTCGATTTCCAAAAGTTGCATCCGCGGATGCGTTTGTCCGAAACGGAAATCTAATACCTTATCAACAGGGCGAACGTGATAAAAGGAAGTGTGCGAACAGTTTGCGAAAGTATTTACATAACCTTAATATCTGAACATTTAAAAATACGCAATTTACACCAAACGATAAATAATTGCTACCACACTGATTCTATTCGAATGGTTTTATAAAAGGGTGCAATGGCTGGGAAGATATAGCGTGGTCGTAAATTTCGATGAAGATGACTTGTTGATGTAAATCATACTTTTTATGTACTTTTTATACAAATCATACTTTTTATATAAATCATACTTCTATTAATGAATGTAGTTGACGTCATAAAATGCTAAATGTCTCGATAATTTACGACCTTGCTATACCTGCACAGCCACTGTATGATACTTAAGTTCGATTCGACACGAAACAACGAATTCTGTCGATAAGGTGTCAAGTACATGAAACTTCGATGAAAAATCATAGAAAATGTTCATCTTGAGCTCCCAGAAACACCCGCATAACGATCGTGTTCAAAGTGTGCGCAGTTTTAATCAAATGTTGCTTACGGGGGAGGAAAATTCTTTTCTAGAATTCTTCCGAAAAGATTGTGCTTCAAGGAACGATTCAAACGTCGAATGTATCGCGGTTTTAATCTAGTTTGTGAGATTAGGTGAGACCGGAATTAATTAGAAATACACAAATAGCAACCCCTTGTCTCACAACTCGCAATAAACATACTTAACTGTTTCAAAAGAAGTATAATGTGCAGTCGGATAACTTGTTTAATAAGTCGGATAAGTTACTGCTATTTGAATACGTATATGAAGTGTATTTATGAGATAAGGGGTCTACAATACTTAAATAAATTGTAGTACAATGAAATAATGGATATTTGAAGCATTTGTAAAACTTGGAAAATACTGCATTTTTAATACTGACTGAAAGTTAACCTTCTGCGGTTTTTGCAATTTGGGGATTTTAGTAAAAAAATGGTTCTGTGTGTGGACGTAGCTAGGTTATTTGGGACTGCTTCTACTTTTAGAGTTATTTGATTTTGGGACTTACAAGATTTTGGGACTTACAAGGTTTTGGGACTTATAAGGTTTTGGGATTTACAAGGTTTTGTGATTTATTGGTCTTTTTGGACTTATTGGACTTTGGGACTTTTTGGACTTTGGGACTTTTTGGACTTTGGGACTTTTTGGACTTTGGGACTTATTGGACTTTGCAACTTATTGGATCTTGGGACTTATTGAACTTTGGGATTTATTTGACTTTGGGACTTTCAAGATTTTGGGGCTTACAAGGTTTTAGGACTTACAAGGTTTTGGGATTTATTGGTCTTTTGGGACTTTTTGGACTTTGGGACTTTTTGGACTTTGGGACTTATTGGACTTTGGGACTTATTGGACTTTGGGACTTTGCAACTTATTGGATCTTGGGACTTTTTGGACTTTGGGACTTTGGGACTTTGGGACTTTTTGGACTTTCGGACTTTTTGGACTCTGGGACTTACAGTATTTTTGAATTTAGGATATTATTGGATAGTGGGGCTTTTGGATTTTAGGACTTATGGGATGTTAAGGTTTGTGGGACAGTGAGATATATTGGACTTTGGTACTTATGGAACTCTGGAACTTTGGGACTTATGGTACTTTGGGACTTTAGGGCTTTGGGACTTATGGCAATTTGAGACTTTAGAACTTTGGGACTTCGGGATCCTGGGACTTATAGCACTTTGGGACTTGTAGCATTTTGGGACTTATAGCACTTTGGGACTTATAGCATTTTAGGACTTGTAGCACTTTGGGACTTGTAGTACTTTGGGACTTTGGGACTCTGGGACTTTAGGACTGTGGGATTTTTGGACTTATAGCACATTTGATCTTTAGGACTTTGGGACTTGTAGCATTTTGGAATTTTAGTAGTTTGAGACTTATGAGCCTCTGAAATGTTAGTTTCTTAGGACTTTGAAACATTATGACATTGGAATTTTTGAACTTTACTACCAATGGTCCTCTGACACTTTGAAACTTGGTACTTTTGAATATATTGATCTTGTGACTTCAAACATATATTAAATGTACCGTTACTCACTAAATACTCAAATAGTTAACACAATTGTAACTTGTAACTACGTCCACATTTTGTATAGTTTCACTTCTAAAAAACTTCTCAGTTCACAAAACAAGTAAACCGCAAAATGTTAAACTACACAAAAACAAGTACAAACAAAAGATAACCCAAACGAGTCTATCAGATGAATAGAATTATCTCGACTTGTTCGTTGTCATTGATAGATAAGATCAGCATTAATTATACGGGTCATCGTCGCGTTGCGACAACCTCTGAACAATTTCATGGGATTCCTTCATGTAACGTGTGATCCCCAATTGTTTGAAACAGTGTAAAAAACGTTCGATCGCTTTATAGCCTCTGATTTACGTTTACGCTTAGCTATGTACACGTTATTTACACCTTAATTATTACATGTTCCTTTCTACTTTCGCTAATAGGTTCTGGAGCAGGCATGGGCACAAAAATGTTCATTAGGCAGCTCCGGTATTGGATTTGGTAGCTCATGTCTACTAGCTTTTATATGATGAGGAGTTTGTGGATGGACGGTGTGGATAAAATGGTGGATATGTGGTTACATACGTAGCAAAAGGAAGTCCTTTTAGATTTGGTGAGTAGCTGGACAAGTAGCTAAACAAATAGCTAGATAAGTTGCTAGATAAGTTGCTGACACAAGTAGCCAGACATGTAGCTAACACAAGTAGCTAGATAAGTAGCTAACACAAGTAGCTAGACAAGTTGCTGGCACAAGTAGCTAGACAAGTTGCTGTCACATGTTGCTAGACAAGTTGCTGACACAAGTAGCCAGACAAGTTGCTGACTCAAGTAGCTAGACAAGTAGCTAACACGAGTAGCTAGACAAGTTGCTGACACAAGTAGCCAGACAAGTTGCTGACTCAAGTAGCTAGACAAGTAGCTAACACAAGTAGCTAGACAAGTTACTGGCACAAGTAGCTAGACAAGTTGCTGCCACATGTTGCTAGACAAATTGCTGGCACATGTTACTAAACAAGTTGCTGACACAAGTAGCCAGACAAGTTGCTGACTCAAGTAGCTAGACAAGTAGCTAACACAAGTAGCTAGACAAGTTGCTGGCACAAGTAGCTAGACAAGTTGCTGTCACATGTTGCTAGACAAGTTGCTGACACAAGTAGCCAGACAAGTTGCTGACTCAAGTAGCTAGACAAGTAGCTAACACAAGTAGCTAGACAAGTTGCTGGCAAAAGTAGCCAGACAAGTAACTAAACAAGTTGCTAGACAAGTTGCTAACACAAGTAGCCAGACAAGTAGCTAAACAAGTAGTTAGACAAGCAACTAGGCAAGTGCCTATACAAGTAG